GATTTCAAATTTAAAAAAAAACTAATATAAAATAGAAGTTAATCCTAGTTAATAGATCACTCCATTTTTCCCTTTCCTTCGCCAGGTCTATCCAAAGTTCTCCCCTCTTATTAGACAAGGTATGTAAGTCTTCACTGATGATTGACATACTGTTAATTAGAAATGGAAATCGGGACTATATAATACAAGCAGCAAGCAGTTGCTGTTTGCTCAATCCTATCCCAGTCATGAAATCTCTTCTGTTTTTTATTTGGATAATGTGGTATATAAGTTCTTAAGGATAAGGATCCTTACATAACATGAACCGTGGAATATAAAAAAATTATATAATATTTTATGACAGTGTAAATTGTTTGACAAATGTTCTTAAAACTACTAATGGTAGATGTGATTCTTGCAATTATTATAACAAGAATAACTTTTAACATTACCTATTCACTTGGGAGTCCGGTCCCCCTCCGAACTGGATTAAAAAGTGAATTATGAAATGAAATCCTGTAGGGTATATCCAAGCAAAAATTTAATAAAGGAGACAATGCAAAATAGTGACGTAATATGTTATTGGTATTTTGTATAAAATACATTACTTTCGCATTAGTGCCAATGTTTCGTGATTTTGTAAATCCAAATTACTGAAAGGAGGTTAATCGACAACTGCTGTGTCGAGGTCCATGAAAATCAATAAATATCGGTCCTTGAAAAACTTTGATTCATTGTTTTAATAGTTTCAGCAGGCTTAATAAAGGTATTCTTTACTAACCATACAGACCGAATAAAAAATAAATAACTTATTGTAAATAGAACAATTTAGGAAAAAGTTAAGTTAAAGGCTTCCTTAGATGTTTGTATCGTCTAGAAAAGTTATTAATATTAATTTAGTACATAATAATAAACCGACGAGTTTGTAAACACACTTATAAATTACCTACTCATTCGAATTGAAAGAGTATTTTTATATTAGATGACTTTTATAGAGGAAGAGTCTATGACATCACTACGACCAAATGAATGCGATTAAAATATAGGGGAAGGTCGGGACCCTTTGTACGGTTTTCACATTTTATTTTTTTCTTTTTCCACGAATCAATCATCTGCAAGCTTAAATTTATAGTCTAACTATCTGAGATTCATATAAAAAAATGACAAATGATTTCATCTGATGGTTCAACCATAATTATGATTTAAACTAAATCTGGAAAACGTACGAATCTGCCCCATCAAGGGGCCACCTTCGTACAGTGTTGGGGGTACCTTCGTACGCTGTGGGGTTATGATTACTAATAAATGCTGTTAACAGGTAGTTAAATTATCAAACTGACAAAACCCTACCGTAGACCTGGTACATTCCCGAATAATAATATTTGAATGTAATTGGTCAAGCAGAAAGATCGAAAGTTTCTGTGCATTTTTTTTTAGTATTAGATTCGTACACTCGTAATCCTTATGACAAACCCAAAGGCAACAGATTCATCTGATTCACAGAGTGCCTAATTATATTTTATACATGCCATATAATGTGTCTATTATGAATACCAAGGTAGATGTATACGTATAGATACTTTTTGTGGCGGCAGCTTTTCGTCGTTTTATTATTATTTTGTGCCGCCGCAATAAATGTATTTCATTTCATTTAAAATACTCGGTTTTAACAAAGCCGCTTAGAATAAGTAAATAAATAAAACATTGAACTTTGTTGATAACTTTGCCATATAAAACAAATTCCCACCATTTGTAAGCTTGTATCTTTGAAACTACGTAACAGATTTTAATTATCAAAAGACGTAATGATTTTTAATTCACTTCTCTTGAGAAACTTCATAAATATATCTACCTATAGATTTCATCTGATTGTTCAACCATAATTATGATTTAAACTAAATCTGGAAAACGTACGAATCTGCCCCATCAAGGGGGCACCTTCGTACAGTGTTGGGGGTACCTTCGTACGCTGTGGGGTAGTTCCGTACGGGCGATTAAAACGACACATATAAATCAAAATTCATTTATTAGCAATGAAATTAAACACAAAAATAAAGATTTAACTTATATTAAACAAAAATAAAATACTTTTCTTATAGTGAACAAAAATTACATAGCTTTTCTTAAGAAAAACAAAATTAAATTAGTTAGGTATCTTAAATTTAGAATCACATTTTTTAATCTTTGGTGCGGATTAGCACTTCTTATTTTCGGGTTTGGCAGTATTAATTCGTAGTTTTCCTGGCCGTCGTCGTCATTTTTTTTTGTTTTATTACTTACAACATGCGGATAGGGTCGAAACGCTTCTGGTGTCAAAACTGACTTCGAAGGAACTACTATTTGATGGATTGGTAAATTATTCAAAGCATCTGGTTCACAGGCATCAAAATCAACCTTAATAAAGATAATAAAAATAGGTATTAATATATATATTTACATCGACGATAGCAATGATACCAACACAGGACAAAGTTAATGCAAATATTAGCAATTAGCACACTAACACAATCTTTCCTACCTACCAGAGGGTTTAGTCAAGATGCCTTATTATTATTTGTATGTAGCAAGTCAAAAACTTAATTTGTATGAAAATGACAGTTTGTGTCGACAAAATATTTTCATACAAATTTAGTTGTACAATTCGTTCAAATGTGCCCCATCTAGTGCTGTCCGAAAGTACCCCACTAACTGAATAACAACAAAATATAACTTATTTTAATATTAATAGGAAAACGTCATAAATTAAGTATTGGAGACGTATCTTAAGTATATTTTGCTAGTTACTGATAGAATACTCTACACGAAAACTTATTTTATCTACGGTAACAAGAGAAAAATTTTTTATCAAAAAATTACTTACCGAGCGCGAAAACACGTCCATGCCTGAAACTTCACTCTCATCGGTGCGAATTTCGCGAAACTTCGTCGATGTATAGTTCGTACCTCGACTCATGCACACATACAAAAACAAGACTGTACTTTGTTTCGTTCAAGTTTTATTTTGACTGTATGAATGTGCCCCGCGTACGAAGGGTAACGATCTTCCCCTATTAGGTACTTAGAAGGTAGAATACGCTGTCTCTTATTTTCTAGACGACACATCAAAGGATGCAATAAAAAAATTCCTATCGGCTATTTAAAATAAGATGTTTCTTTTTTTATGCATGCTTAAGCAGGCAGTAAGCCTCTTACTCATTAAAAAATACCTTTATTATGATAGCTAAAACTATTGAAACGACCTTCACTGGTTTATTTCTTTCTTCGCAGTTTTTGCGATTCCTACATTATTTTAATAATATATATCGTTTATTAATACCTAAACATAAACATCAAATATACAGTATTTACAATTTAATTAACCTACATTGTAATAATAAAAATAATTAACATTAATAAAAAGAAAATTTATAATATTTGGTCCCTGTGCAATGTACGTTTAACGCTGGCAGCAATTTTTAATAATTATATGTATACAAGAATAAGCAAATAAATAATAAGTTGATGTTGAAAATGCGAAATAAATTGTCCTCTACGTGCGTATATTAATAAACGTGACTTATTCAACACAATGTTGTATACAACATGACATCTTGTAAGACAATACTAACAGATATAAATCAAAATACAATAAATTTATTTAAATTCATACTAAATAGGTAATGGAATAAAATATTTGTGGTATCCACTGTGGGCAACTTATAATAAGGACTAATATTAAATTCTACCCTACTATATACTGAAAATATGACTTAAGAAAATGAAAATACAAAAAAAAGATTATAAGTAACTATGAATTGGGTGTACTTACTTATGACAGAAAACACGTAAACTACAATGAAACTAATTACTTTATAAGATGTATAGAACTCAAAATAAGTACGTTTTTATTACTAATACTAAAAAGACTAAAGGATTTCCATTATTGCAAAGCAAAGAGTACAAGCTTAAACTACAACAGTTCAAATCAAACGCGGCTAATTACCTTCCTATTCCCCACAGCGCGTGTGCAAGTTTACAAGTCAGGGGCCTTAGTCAAGATGCCTTAACAGTAGTGTATGTAGAACGTCAAAAACTAAATTTGTATGAAAACTTTTCGACACGAACTGTCATTTCCATACAAATTAAGTTTTCGACTTTCTACATACACTACTGTTAAGGCATCTTGACTAAGGCCCCAGGAAAATTAAAAACCCGAATGTTAATAATCTTTACAATAATTCTATTTAATAAACTTTATTGGTTTGAGAGTTTTACAATATAATTTGTATGTAAATTTTCATTCATATCTGTATCTAAAGCTGTACGTAGGGTAATTTGTTAAAAAGTAATTCCTCCTACAAAACATACGGTCTATAACCTAATAAATAATCTTAATTGTTAGTTGTAGGCTTTGCAGCCATCTATCGGCAATTATTCGTACTTTTTGGATCGATATCTATCTATATGTTTACAGCACCATCTAGCGAAACGATATAGATTTCGATCCCAAAATAACCGCACTGTTTCATGATTTGCACAGCTTTCTTGACATAGCGTAGTATATGTTGAGAAATAGATGGCACGTTGCACCTATGTCGTCAATAATGGCCGCCTGCGTCACATCACTGCGCAATCAAGCACGGAAATAACAGCTGTTCAGTGTTCTACAATATTCGTTCGGGCAACTCAGCTACAGCAAGCAGCAGCTGTATTCGGATAAAGACGCAGCCGTTTTCCTTGAAAATTGCGATTGTTTGGATATAAAATAGTCGCTTTGTCATTGTTTTTTGTTGAACGGTAAAGATTACTTTTTCTTTAAGTTTGTCAAGTAATTATAACGGTACTAGTGTGATTCATTACATGCGTAAGATATTGATGATGTTTACTAAAATTTGCCCGTTGTTATTGTGACTCGAATGGTTGAAATGCCTCGTGAATACGTGGACGCTGAGGTGAGAAGTGTGTTATGTCAATAGAATCTCAACGCTTAGATAGCAATATTAGTGTTAAAATTGTTATAACTAGGACGAAAAGTTAATAAAATGTCTAGTACGGTGCCGACCAGTTCTGCTCTGAGGGCTTTGGCGTTAGAATACAAAAGCTTACAAGAGGAGCCAGTAGAGGGTTTTAGGGTGAAATTGTTGGGAGAGGACAATTTGTTTGAGTGGGAAGTGGCAATATTTGGACCACCAGATACTTTATATCAAGGAGGCTATTTCAAGGTAAGAATCCACTTTCTTTGTTTTATGTTAAATTAATTTAAACATGTTACAACTACAGTTTCATTCCTTATAAGTTACACAATGTACCTGTATTATCTTCTTAACCTATAAATAGGTGAAATAAACATGGATTTACCATTAAAGTGTTTCAAGCTCCAACTTATATGATTAAGGTTTGAAAATATAGTAACAGACTTTGTACTATGCTAGTTACTGTTAGAATAAATTGTAAAGGAACCTTTTAAGATTAAATTTGTAAAGCAATCCATAAATTGATTTATGTACAGTTATTTTGTCATAGACTACCTTATGACATACTACTTACTAATTAGGTATATTTTTTGCTGGTTGATACAGCATCTACCTGATATGAGAAAACAATGATTTAAGTTTCAATTGGAATATATTGAGAAAAATTATTTATCGATTAGCTTGCCTATAACTACTCTTAATAAACTGTGTGTATTGTCTTTTTCATCCAGATAAATCACAGAATTGTAAAATATTCAAGTATTTAAAGTTTTATTGACAAAACATACTCCATTTGCTGAAGATATTTAGCCAACCTGCATTTGGATTGTCTTGTTTAAAACTGACAGTTTCCTGGGTATATGAATATATGGGTTATAAGCACAATGAGAAAGAGTTAAAATTTATTTTTCTTGTTTCAGGCATATATGAAATTCCCACCAGATTATCCATATTCACCACCAACAGTACGATTTGTAACAAAAGTGTGGCATCCAAATGTGTATGAGGTAAGTTTTAAAATAGGTTTTTATAGATTAATGGCTGTATTTGATAAGGAACTGTATAGAGTTGTGTTCTGTGTAGCATTTGAACTATAAACCGTATAAACAATCACTTTATGTACCAAAATTTATACGACTATGATTCAGAAATTTAAATTCATTTCCTCAATTTAATCTTGTTTATAATTCTATATCGGGATATCTCCTTTAATATCAAGAGACCCTTTAGTGCATTCAAATAATACTCTTAAATGCTTAATTATTAGCTATTACCTTTAAATGGTAAAGTATAAAAGTAAAGGAAAACTTAGCATTTCTTTATTTTTTGGTTTTACATAACCTGTACCTCATAATTTCATATATTATTAACTTATTTCTAAATCAGTTTCACAGTATGTATGTGATACAATAGATTTTTTTTTTAATAATTATTATGATTTTAATATTTTAACTAGAATTCTGTACACATATTTGTATTTCCATTATTTATCTACATTATTTTGTATATATAAACTAAACATTACATTATTTGCATTCACTTTGTTATTTACATATTTACAAACACACTGAAATCATTCTAGAAGAAACTTATGTTAAATTTAAAAAATCAGTGGTGTTACTAACTACGTCTGACCTCAGATTTCTGTATTTGATTTTTTTTTAAAGGCAAGTCGGTGATCAGCCTTTGCCATACCTCTTAATTTTCTCTTAATATTTTTTAATTGAAAATAAATAATTATTTATACTACATATATAGACAAAATAGACATATATATAGATAATAATATTAGTAGAGTTAGTTTACATGTATGTTAATATGTAAGGATACCCTTACACATATTATATTATGATTATTATAAATGAACAAGTTATCTATTGCAATAATCTATGTCTACCAATTCAGCCAGTGCTACACTAATGACACAGCACTCAACTTGCATAAACAGTAGAAAGAAACCCCATGGACAAAAGAGCTAGGTCTGAATATATATATGCATGTCTTTTGTCTATTGTAAATTTCACAGGTTTGTATTATTGCCAATATTAAAATAGTACTTATATTTTTTTTAAAGGCAATAAGGGTCTGTGCTATAGGGAGACATAACATTTTTCAAACGTATACAATAACAATGATTATATTGTTTTCTTGAGGATAGTTTTAATAAATCAGTTTTCAGTCTTAATAAATCAGGCTTAAGTCTTAATTATTATGTAATGCTATTTTATTTATTTGCTTAAGATAGCTTTAATACAAAGATCTACTAATATTATATCTGCAATATAAGTAACTTATCTATGTTAAAGCCTAGTGTTTCAGTGTTATTTATTTATTAATTATAAAGTTATAAGCTAAAGTTCACCACATATATACCCCTTTATATGGTACAAGCAATCTATATAAACAATTATAACTTAAAACAAAATTAAAATAATACAAGTACAATAAAAATATTATAATTCCAGTTTAGATTTTGTAAATCAAGTTGATTTGGAAAATGCTGCTGATTTGGGTTCTATTCTGTTAATTTCGTGTCGCGAAACTGATTCGGTTTAGAAGAAACGGAAGCATACTAGAGTTTTCATGTTTGAAGTGCCATAATCCTCAATGGGGAACGGGGGCAGATACGTTATTCATTTAAGACAAGTACGAGGTCTATTTACGTAACCACCCAGAACCTGTAATGTATAACCCACTGGATAACCTACTAAAGCACAGAACTGGTTAAGCATAATACGAGCGAGCGACTACTAAAGATGTGAAAAATAAATAGTGTCCCACTGGGTTTTGGTTAATATATTCTATATTGATAGTTGCTAGCCGATAATATATATTTGGGCTAGGGCGCCCTCGTTTAAATTGTGAACTAGATCAAGGTTTTCACGACATAGACCTTTATATGATATAAAATACAAAAAGCCAAAACAGATTACATAGATAAACAATATATACGAAACAGAAAACAAATGTACAAGTAAATTAATAGACAAAACTATATAAAGAAAACTAAAATTTAACATTTAAAACAACAAAAATAATTAATATTTCAAATTACTACCTAAACAAATTCAGAGTCTTCCCGCCTCTTCAAATACTTTCTCACATCTTCTTTGGTGAGTTGGAAAATATCAATATTATATATAATATATAAAATATCAATATTCATTCATTCACAAATCATGATGTTTTAATTAATTTCTATGGCGTTAAAGAGCAAGCGCCACCATGCATGGCATGGTACACCATTGCCGAGTGATGAAAATATGTAGGAAAAATATTGGAGCTGTTTTAATGTAGTGCCGCGCAAATTTACCCAAATTTTAAATTCCTTATAAACTAAATAGTTAAAAAAATACAATTTATGCAAAAAACTAAAACATAACAAACGGAGAGAAAAAAGCGTTTTTATACATGTATTACATAATAACATCTATCTTATATATACATGGAGCCAAGCAAGCACATCCCATTTTGGCTAAAAAAAATACCTATATACGGTCATGAAAGCATCACAAAGTTAATATATAGAACACGTTTAAATAGTTTATGTCCTATACCCCTAGATGGGGTAGAGGGCGTTCACAGTGAGTCTCTATTGCGTTCGGTCTTGACAGTTTAGATACATACATCCTAAACTCTTTATAACGAATTTCGGACGGACCGAGCGTTGTTTTCGTTATAGGGTAGGAAGAGAAGAAAACCAATTACAATAATTTCTAATTGTATTACTATCAATAGGTAAATTATTCTAAAAACATTATGTATCCTTTACTGGCTATCTTGACAGTTTCAAAGTTTCTTTACGACTGATAGTACACGATAGGTGACAGTGGTGCGTTTAGTAACTGAGACCAAAATTTCCTACAGGAAATGTAATCTAAGAATAATGGCACACGTGTTAATGCAATTAACAATAACAAAGGCGAGACGGCTCTTTATGACCAAATGTGTCTTTCTTAGAAATTTCGGCACCTCAAAAGGCTAGTTATAAGTAAGCTGATTATAAAAACAATTACACTTAAGTATGTTGGCTATTGGCTGTTGCGTTATAAAGAGTGAAGTAATGTATATGTTTTGTGTTAAACCAAACAAGTGTATAGAGTTTTTCTTTATAACGATTGACGTTATAAAGAGTTTACACTGTATGTAGGTATTTGCAAATATTGATAACAAACTACGCAAATATGAAAATGCCTGCTAAAGAGGTACATTGTACTCCAACTAAAACCTTGTTTTTTTTAATATCTGGAAATCTGGGCCAGTTTGTTGCGCATGTTGCATTGTTTTATAATCGAGGTTAAACATTTAATTAATTTTAATTTATGTTCACGCGGGATTTATCTAAAGATCTCGTCTGGATTTCACAAATGTAGATTGTTCCTATTCTTCTGAAATTTTGAAATTTTATTTTTGGAAAGACTAGCGGGGTGTTGCCAGTTCTTGAACAGAACTGGTAGTTAATTTAGATCTTCTTTTTTTAATATGGGCGTTTTTAGTTACCAAAATTTCGGTAGGAGATATTACTAAAAAGAGAAAGGAGACTGTCAAGTTTAAAATTTATACGAAAATCTGTAAAATGTATAAGTTTTGTTTGATTGTAGGAAAATATTAGATATATTGGCTATCAGATGGAGATAATTGAAATATAGCACGCTTCGATATCCATTGCAAAATCAATTATACGATTTATTAACGTATGAATAATAATAAAAACTTTATTTATGACAAAAATTCATATATCGCTAGTTCCCACACTAGGGAGTCCCTGTGTTACTAGTTAACAATTGTTCCGTGCTACATGGTACATGACGTGTATTTATTGGTGATTATAATAAAAAAATGATGAGCGTACCCTTTGGCACTTCACACGACACATTCTAAGTACGACTGCAATTAAGACATTAAATGATTATTTATAAATGCTAATTTTGTAAGTTTTTATTGAATTTCGACAAAGACTCATCAACATTGACCTGATTAAGTGTGCTAGATAGGGACCCACGGCCCGCCCTACTTATTTGATTTTGTCATTGGATTATTTATAAACAATAGAACTAATGGACTTACGACTTTTAACAACTAGAGAATGTACTGCAATGCTTTGAATTCTAAAATTGTGCACAATTAATTGTTTTCCAGTGATTAATAATTATGATTAGTAAAAATAATAATAAAGCCCGTTTAATTTCCAATCATGCCAAGCATATACATTATTTATATCTTGCTATCCTATACCTTAGCTATGATTGATATATTACAATATTGTGGCCTGAAAAATGTTGGATCATTTGTTTTCGAGACTCTTAAGAACGGTGTTTATGACTGTAATAATAATAAAAGCCCGATTACAGCCAATCATTACAAAAATAAAATATACAGCTAAGATTTGTTATAGTATATACATTATTTATTTGTTGTTATCCTATATCTTAGCTATGATTAGAAATATATGACAATATTGTGGCCTGAAAACTGTTGGATCATTTGTTTTCGAGACTCTTAAGAACGTTGTTTTATGTAATTATAATAAAAGCCCGATTATACAAAAATAGTATATACAGCTTAGATTTATTATATACACATATTTTGTTCTAATATCCTAACTCCTCCAGCTTTTACTAACTATCTCTGTCCATGGCTTCCTGCTACCGCTTCTATTTCTTCTATACAACTTTTTATGGAGCACCCAACTCCTTCTTCCCCTTGGTCATTTCTATATACAGTCAAAACCATTTACGACCACATCGTTTAGAACAACATACCGGTTATATTGACCAAAATCAAGGTCCCGGCTGAATTCTAATGTATTAGGTTAATAATAACGTCATCGGCTGTTACGACTATCGGTTTTTACGACCAAATATGAGTAGTCCCTTCGATGTCGTTATAAAAGATTTTGTCTGTAGTTGTCTTTAAAGTCCACCTTTTATTAATGCTATATGCTATGTTTATGAATGTACAATAAAATTTAATTTAGAAACTGTCGCCTTAGTACCTCATGGCGTCT